CTACTTCGCCTTACTTCACATCAAATCTTATCATTTCTACACAATGTTTGTGCTTGCTGTAATACTACTCGAACAAACGTGTCTATTAATCATTTAAGGTCTTAAATATATGAAATCTTTTATTATAAAAATGAGTACATCCAACTAAAATATTAAAGTTGTTATTGAAGAAAAAAATATTGTCATCAAGGTGAATATCAAAATCTAGATTTTATAGAAAATGTTCAAGCACAAAATGAACTAAATTTGAAAGTTAGATATCATTCTAAAAAATGAAACACAAGAAGATTCTGTAACGGCAACACTTAACAAACTCAATTGCTTGGAAACATGCATCCACCCCTCATTGACTTTGCTTCGCAGCTCATAATCTAGCTTCTCCGCTCGGTAAAGGGTATTTTGCCCAATTTTTGCAGTTTAGACCATTCTAAAGCAACGTTGACCTTGTTAAAGGAAATTAAGATAAGTATACCGTTTAATTTTTCGATTTAAGATAAAATGAATTGAGAAATTGTAGTTACTAATGAAATGAGATGTACATTCTAATTGGAAACGACAATCAGTGATACTTTGAGCAATTTCGTGGCACGAAAAGCAAACGTACTCAAATATAGGGAGAAAGCTGGCTAAGGAAAACCAAGCAAGTGCTCTTACTATTGGATTGGTTTGACGACTTGTTTGATGTATGACGGCACGTGGCTAGTGGCCCTTGCACGTGTCATTTATTCATTATGTTTATGATGTTGTGACTATATTGTATGATGATAATTTACAATGTACGATAATGATTTTATATGATGTTATGATGCTATACAATGTTATATGATACGTTAGAAGACATGGTGTAAGTTTATGATATGACATATGTTTTGCCTGATGATATATATGATATGACATGATTGACAAAAAGTGTGTTGAATTGGCATAATGCACAACCTCGATATATACATGAAAAGTTGTGATAGAATGAAATGATATAAAGGAAAATGCTAGAGAGTTTGTTATACAGGATAATGAAAGGAAAAATGTTTGGACGTCATGCATCATTGTGCATTCATGCATCGGAGGATACTCCTTCTTTTACGATTGTACAGATGCATACATTGCGAGGCAGGGAAACAATCATTATATTATTATAATTTTTCGATGGACACTCCAAGGAATCCAAACCAACGAGGTAGATCGATAAGACAGAATGTCATAACGAACAACCCGCGCTGCAACGATTACCATTGACAAGTCAGTACTCTCTACTATAAGCCAAATAACACTTTTTTATGTTATTTAGGTGAGATTAATGTGAGTAAGATAGAGATGATTATTCTAGATGAACAGTACTATGATGGTTGCTATTCTTGGGTCATATTAATGTATCAATAAGTTATGTGTGAAGGTTGGGTAACCAAAGGTGCGAGACGACTTAGATCTAGTGGAAAATTACGACAGAAAAGCCATTGGAATGGCTGCAAAAAGAGAATGAAAGGAATTTTGAAGATCGTGAGGAGTCGGGTGTAGAAGAAAGAATCCGTCAGATCTGGATCCAAGTCGAACATACGTGCACCAACCTACTAATCAAACCCATCTGCAGCCCAGATACCAACAGCAACTTTGGCCTATGACCCAGACACTTGTGACTCATGGCCCATAATGCCAGTAGCTCGCGCATTAGATCTTGCGGCCCAAACTACCTTCAGCGAACTATGTAATCAGCCTGAAGCCTGCGCCTTGTTCCAAACATCACCACCATGTGTGTCAACTCCTTCTCGTGCTACGTGTCATGCTTAAAACAAGATGGCTCTCCTCGGCTCAGTCTATGAAGATGATGTATGAAGTATGACATATGATGTATGACGTATAATGACGTGATTGAGTTATTTGATTGCCATATGATAGTATATAATGTTCTATGATTTTGTTATATGATGATGTTGTATGATGATGATGATGAATGAAAACATGAATATTTAAGATGTAATATTATGAGATTCCTTAATATGACGTCATCCCATATTAACATGAAATGCATGTTTTAAATTCTATGATGCATTATGATGATGAATTTCCTAAAACCAAATCCTAATTATAATAATGATGATGAATGTATGAAGACCATTGCATGCATATTACTTAAAGTGATATGTGAACGGAACTTACGGTTGTGTCACCAAGATGTTTTAAAGATGAGAAACTATAGGGACTTTATGCATTTTGTGTGTATATTCATCGGGTTACTTCCACTTTTGTGATGAAGAGTGAGGACGTGTACAATATGATGATGGTGATCATCATACCTTGCGTGACACTTAGGAACCAGCTTATTTTCGGACGTCGCTATGAATAGCTAGCTCAACTACTAGAGGCCCAGGGGTGTGAAGAGACTAAGGATCCAAGCTTGCACGTGTGGGTTATGTGTAAGGAAGTAGTGCACATCTAATTTTTTAAGGACTAGAGGTCACCCCTACGATGGTTATAACGATAGGCTCCTAGATCATGAGTTTCGTGTGATTGCATTCCCTAACCCTAATAGTGAGGTCACTTACTCAATATTTCTTTAAGTACTCAAGTCATCAAGTCATGGGCTACTTCTATTTAAGGAATGCAATCACATGAAACTCATGATCTGACCTATCATTATAACCATAGTAGGTGTGACCTCGAGTCCTTACAAAATTAGATGTGTAGTACTTCCCTACACATAACACAGATGTGCAAGCATGGATCTTAGGCAGTTCACACCCCCTGGGCCTCTGGTAGTCGAGTTAGATATTCGTAGCGACATCCGAAAGTCAGCTGGCCCCTGAGTGTCATGCAAGGCATGATGATCACCATCATCGTATTGTACGTGTCCTTACTCATCATCACAAAAGTGGAAGTAGCCCGATGAATATATACACACAGAGCCATCTTGTTTTAAGCATGACATGTAGCACGGGGAGGAGTTGACACACATGATTGTTGCGTAGGGAAAAGGCGCAGGCTTTGGGAATGATTACATAGTTCGTAGGCTGCAGGTAGTTTGGGTTGCACGATCTAATGTGTGAGCTACAGGCGTTGTGGGCCACGAGTCACAAGTGTCTTGGCCGTAGGCTGAAGTTGCTATTGGTATTTGGGTTGCAAATGGGTTTGAGTAGTAGGTTGGTGTAGGTATGTTCGACTTGGATCCAGATCTGATGGATTCTTTCATCTTCACCCAACTCCTCGCAATCTTCCAAATTCCTTTCTCTCTCTTCCCGCAGCCATTCCAATGGCTTTTCTGTCGTAATTTTCCACCGGATCTAAGTCGTCTCTACCTTTGGTTACCCAACTTTCACACATAACCGTATTGATACATGAATATGGCCTAAGAATAGCAACCATCATATTACTGTTCATCTGGAATAGTCACCCCTATCTTACTCACATTAATCTTACTTAAATAACATAAAAACGTGTTGTTTGGCTTATAGTGGAAAGTATTGACTGGTCAATGGTTATCGTTGTAGCTTGGATTGTCTATTATGACATTGCGTCTTATTGATCTACCTCGTCGGTTTGGATTCGTTGGAGTGTGCATGGAAGAATTATAATAATATAATGATCGTTTCCCTACCTCGTAGTGTATGCATTCGTACAATCGTAAAAGAAGGAGTATCCTTCGATGCATGAATGCACAATGATGCATGGCATCCCAAGATTTTTCCTTTCATTTCATTCTATCACAACTTTTCATGTGTATATCGAGGTTGTGCATTATGCCAACTTTTCATATCATATATCTCGTCAGGTAAAACATGTCATATCATAAACTTACACCATGTCTTTTAACGTATCATATAACATCGTATAGCATCATAACATCATATAAAAAGATCATCATATATCGTAAATTTTCATCATACAATATAGTCACAACATCATAAATATAATGAACAAATGATACGTGCAACGGCCACTAGCCACGTGTCGTCATATATCAAACAAGTCATCAAACCTATCTGATAGTAAGACCACTTGCTTGGTTTTCGTTAGCTGGCTTTCTCCCAATATTTGAGTAGTTTACTTTTCGTGCCAAAAAATTTCTCAAAATATCACCGATTGTCGTTTCCTATTAGAACGTACATCTTGTTTCATTAGTAACTACAATTTCTCAATTCATTTGATCTTAAATGGAGAAATTAAACCTTATACTTATCATAATTTCCTTAAAACAAGGTCAACTATGCTTTAGAATGGTTGAAACTGCAAAAAATTGGGCAAAATACCCTTCAACGAGTCAAGAAGATGGATTATGAGCTGGAAAGCAAAGCCAAGCTGATTGAGCTGGGTAAGTGGAAGAAGTTTTATGGCTGCAAGCGCGACACGTGGCGCAATGAGGCGTGGATGCATGTTTCCAGGCGATCGAGTTTGTTAAGTGTGGTCGTTACACGATCTAGATTTTTTAGAATGGTGTCTAACTTTCAAATTTCAAATTTAGTTTATTTTATGCTTGAACTTTTTCTGCCAAATCTAGAATTTGATATTCACCTTAACCACAATATTTTATTCTTCAATAACAACTTTGATATTGAACTTTTTCTACCAAATCGAGAATTTGATATTCACCTTGACCACAATATTTAGAATGAGTCTTGTTAGTCCCTTTCTATCAGCACCCTTGTTGGGTGCATGATGAACTTGGAAGCCCGCTTCGCATATCGCTTCAACCTTTGCATGGCTTGTTGCGAAATGCGTCTCGGTTGCTTGCACTCTCGGATGCCGTGCATTTGGTGGCATGATGTGCTTGGAAAACCCCTCGAACATGTTGCCTATGTATTGCTAAACGAAGCATGAAGGAATGACGCTTGCTCCTGCATTGTCACCATTGTTACCTCTCTCACACTCCATTTGGAGGGGGAGATGGTGAAATGTAGTGGCATGTGGTTTGCAACGTTGTGTTGGAATGCTACCTGGTTGATCCTGCCAATAGTCATATGCTTGTCTCAAAGATTAAGCCATGCATGTGTAAGTATGAACTAATTCAGACTATGAAACTGCGAATGGCTCATTAAATTAGTTATAGTTTGTTTGATGGTATTTGCTACTCGGATAACCGTAGTAATTCTAAAGCTAATACGTGCAACAAACCCCGACTTCTGGAAGGGATGCATTTATTAGATAAAAGGTCGACGCGGGCTCTGCCCGTTGCTCTGATGATTCATGATAACTAGACGGATCGCACGACCATCGTGCCGGCGACGCAACATTCAAATTTCTGCCCTATCAACTTTCGATGGTAGGATAGTGGCCTACTATGGTGGTGACGGGTGACGGAGAAATAGGGTTTGATTCCGGAGAGGGAGCCTGAGAAACGGCTACCACATCCAAGGAAGGCAGCAGGCGCGCAAATTACCCAATCCTGACATGGGGAGGTAGTGACAATAAATAACAATACCGGGCTCTTCGAGTCTGGTAATTGGAATGAGTACAATCTAAATCCTTTAACGAGGATCAATTGGAGGGCAAGTCTGGTGCCAGCAGCCGCGGTAATTCTAGCTCCAATAGCGTATATTTAAGTTGTTGCAGTTAGAAAACTCGTAGTTGGACCTTGGGTTGGGTCAATCGGTCCGCCTATGGTGAGCACCGATTGGCTCGTCCCTTCTGTCGGCGATGCGCTCCTGGCCTTAACTGGCCGGGTCGTGCCTCCGGCGCTGTTACTTTGAAGAAATTAGAGTGCTCAAAGCAAACCTACGCTCTGTATACATTAGCATGGGATAACATCATACGATTTCGATCCTATTTTGTTGGCCTTCGGGATCAGAGTAATGATTAACAGGGACAGTCGGGGGCATTCGTATTTCATAGTCAGAGGTGAAATTCTTGGATTTATGAAAGACAAACAACTGCGAAAGCATTTGCCAAGGATGTTTTCATTAATCAAGAACGAAAGTTGGCGGCTTGAAGACGATCAGATACCGTCCTAGTCTCAACCATAAACGATGCCGACTAGGGTTTGGCGGATGTTGCTTTAAGGACTCCACCAGCACCTTATGAGAAATTAAAGTCTTTGGGTTCCGGGGGGAGTATGGTCGCATATATTTAAGACTTTAAATGATTAATAGACACTTTTGTTAGAGTAGTATTACAACAAGCACAAACCTAGTGTAGAAATGATAAGATTTGATGTGAAGTAAGGTGAAGTAAGGCGAAGTAGATGGATTTGTCTAAGAACTCCATGGATAAACGAAGTCGAATACCTTTGTTTGACTATTATATAAAGAAAAATCATTCTTTTGTGCACGCCAAATGCAATGCCAATTGTTGAATCGATCTTGAAGCCAAACTTTATCCTCTGGCCAAAAAACCACGAATCGAAGCGTTCCATAATTGCTTCTAAAGTTACACCAATACAATGTTGTCTGCCACATGTTATCTTTGAATTCTCAACTGTATTCTTGTTTCAATGGAAGAATATGCTCCCCTGTATAAGAAAACATTAGATGGGCACAAATTCGATTGGAAAAAAAGAAAAAATTAGAACCGTAAGAGTTTATACAATTACCTAGTCAAATGTTCAATTAAATAAAAGATCCTAAATACCAATTTGTTCGAAATTCAACTAGCTGAGACCATATATGCATTGATGAAGAGGTCAAGTGCATTTCAAACTCTCCATCCCACACATTTATTTAAAAAAAAAAAAATAGTCTGGTTGAATAACTTGTCATGGTGCATCAACATTGATCTATAGTTTTTTAATGTTGGATATTATAATTTTCAAATTGGCGGAGTTCTGAAGTTCCACCCCAGCCCTTGAATAAAAATAAATAGAAACTATCAAATCCATAAATTTAGATATACATAAAATAATATGGTCTGGTTGAATAACTTGTCATGGTGCAACACCCTTATTTACCTAAGTCATCATTTTCTGATTTGCAATAAGTCCGTAAAGGTACGTCTTGATAATTAAGAATCGTCACTTTCCAATGCGATTCTGGATATTGGCTCGCAAAACAAGTGAAAACATTAGAAGTCGATGCAAAAGTAAACAACAAAATCATATAAAGATTATTCATATCGTATAGACTTAGGATTTGTTTGTGTTTCATATGGATCCTTTTGAACCATATATATATATAATCATTGCACTCCAACAAACATACATGGACAATTATTAAAGATAGATTTTTATGTAAAAGGCTATGAAAAGAAAAACTAAAAAAATCAAAAGGATATCAAGGGTGTTTGTTTCCTAGGCTAGACTTTATTTAGTAAAGCATCGTACTCAACTATCCAAAACTTAGGTTATACTTTTTTCTCTCTCAAGGCCAATCATATACTTCTGATAACTACATTGGGATCCTCTCCTTCTCAAGTTTCTTCTATTTTGGTGCTCGAAATTTTTAAATAAAATGGAAACATGTATATTTATTTTCATTGCCATACATGCACTATTTTGTTAAAAGTCTCCATATGGTTGAGAACTCAAATATGAAATAGACTTGCTTTTATTAGATTAGTATTGTAGTAAGCACACATCTAAGTTCTCATCAACATCCTAAATGCGATGCCAATAGTTGCATCATTCTTGAAGCCAAACTTCATTCTCTAGCCATAACACCTCGAACTAAGCATGTCTAAGATTGCTACTAAAGTTGTATCAAAACAATGTTGTTTGCAAAAAAAAAAAAAAATTCTCTTTGAAATTCCAATTGCATTGGTAATGGTTAAATAATTAAATAAATAAATCTAATCGCGAAAAAGAAGTCTTGCCGAAAATCTCGCACCCTCTAGCCACACACCCTCCCAACGCCAATGATATGCCCAACAAAGCCACGCTCAAGCCTTCCGTCACAAGACATGGCTGGAATAGAGAAAATGCAAGTAATTGAGAGAAGATGAACGATCATTGTAGTTTTCCAATGAACGCAAATCGACGATGACAAACTGAATCCCCACCTCTCATTTTAAAATCACCCTCAATCTCCACTTGTTATACAAAATATATCTCCATCAGTTGGACTAGGAAGCACAGAGAAAAAGACCGATGTAAGGAGATTGTATTCATGGGGGAAAATTTTTGGCGAGCATTGGTTGTTTTATATATCCGAAACGAAACACGGGTTTGCAATGGTAGTCACATTCATGGCTTGGTGAAGTCATGAGAGAGGGAGGAAAGACAAGAAGGAGTAAGGGATCAAAATTTTGGTAAAGTATGATTACAATCAGTGGCTCGAATTAAAACAAACCCAAGCCTTGACCCACCACTAGCGCAAAGCTCAACAACAAGGAACAAAGCCCCGAAGCTTACTTGCAACGCTTGGCCCACCTACAGCATTGGGCGCCTTGCCAACTACAACTATTAAGCCTAACTGGGCCGAGACCATCGGTATAGATATTTTGATACTGATTTCTACAAATTTTTTACCCTCCTAAAACTTAATTTGACCTTAATAAATGCAAATAAGGTCAGTATAGCATCTTATTTCCAAGGTCAAGTTTGTTTAGGCTAGAAATGTGAGTTATTAATGAAAAATGATGTATGACCATAAATTTTTACTTACTTAAAGTCGCTACTAATGTTTTATGCTCGACACAGATGCGAAATACAATCCTTAAAAGAACATCATTTATAGCAGAATTTCGAGAATTTAAAACAATTACATCTTGGAAAACACTATCATGGTTTTACGTGTTCAACACATAATACTAGAAAATGAAAATAAAACAAATACAAAATAATTTAAAACATATGAAATGCAAGACAACAATTGTAACCTAAGACTAGAAAATTAAATATGTTCATATCTTATGCACGTGTCATGGCCTCTGCTCGCGATTCCACCGTCATCCGTACATGGGCTCCTTGCCTTTACATGAAAAATGTCGTGGCACACGGCCTGAGTATTTTGAAGAATACTCAGTATATGACCCAACTATAGGGGTCATGCTAAATATAAACACATGCAAATATGAGGTAGGGACCTATCTCTATCTCATACTACGGGTGGTCTTTAGTCGGGACTAACTATGGATGTGTAGTACATCCCTACACATAACCCACACGTGCAAGTGTGAATCTCTAGGCGGTTCGCACCCCCCTGATCCATCATCGTTGAGCTAGTTGTCTGTAGTGACGTGTTGAGGTCAACGAACCTCTTGGTATCATGCTCAACATGATTACCGTCATCATCATACTATGTTCATCCACACTCATCATCATAAAGGGGAAGTATCCCGATGCTTATGTACAAACAACATGCATGAGGTCCCTCTAGTTCATATCTTAGACATTTTTCTTACACAACCCTAGTTTTATCACTATATTACATTTAGTAATGCATGCTCATTAGATATTTATGTTAATATCGTTAAGCATGCTCTTAGGGTTATGTCCTAAGTCGATCTCTCAATACGATACAACATGGCAGTCATCATCACACAACATGCTTCATATGAAAAAAAATCATCATATTAAGGTTAACGTCATACTTTACTATTTGTTCGGTTAAAAGTTGATGTTTGTATGATGACACGTTCCTTGTGATTCTTCATGTGTTATATGCTTGATATGTGTGAAATGTTTATGGAACGATGTGATTGTGGAGTGTTCATGAAATGATTTGACTAAGATATCTTTATGAAATGATACAACTAGGATATGTTTATGAAACAATATGACTTGGATATATGTATGAAATAATATGACTAAGATATGTTTACAAAACGAGATGACTATGATATGTTTATGAAATGATATGACAAGTATATTTTTATAAATGATACGACTATGATACGTTTATGAAATGAGATGACCATGATATGTTTGCGAAAGAATATGACTGGGTTATGTCATAAAACGATATGACTGTGACTGTGACATGTTTACAAAGAATATGACTATGATATGTTTACAAGATGATAAGTCCATGATATGTGTGTGATACAACGTGCCTATGAGATGATATGTGAATGTTATGACACGATGCATGATATGAATGATATACGAAAAAATGTGTCGACATAATGCATCCACAGCTCCTTGGAATGCTCGTCTAACCATAAAAGGGGCCCAAAAGGAGTGTGACTCGACTAGTGGATTCATACTCGCACGTGTGTAGAATATTAAATACACGTCCAATTAACCTATTTAGTTTAGTCGCCTAAAAAATATAAACTTATATGATAGGTCCCACACATCATTGTATGTGTTTGCATCCAACCTCATTATTAGAGTCACTTAATGAATATTTCTTAAAATACTCTAATCATATGCTACTTCTATTTCAAGTAAAGGCAAGACATTCCTGCACGACTAACGACCACGTCACAATTTGAGACCATGGCACATGCATAGGGGGTAGGGATAGTTGTATTTATTTTCTTAGAGTTAGATTAGAATAGGGTGTTTTTAATTTTAATGCTTAATTAATTGATTTAGTATTTCATTGTGTTGTTTTAAAGATGCTTTTGAACACGTAAGTAGGTGGCAATGTTTTCAGATGATGTCTATGTTTTATAATGAAGTTTAAACGCTTATTTCTACAAAAAAAAAAATGATTAAGTCATCATAACGAAAGCAACTTTAGGAAAATAGAAATCTAAGGTCATCTAAATATTCTTGTGGGAAGGAAGGATATGCTCCCCTATATTAGAAGTTTATGTCACGTGGGCACAAATTCAATTAAGAATTAATGGATTAAGATTTAAACATTGTACTTTACATGTTTTTTAACCCAAAAAAGAAAAAATTAATAATAATAATCCAGACTATG